TTTGAGTTGTGCAGGGAATCCAGGAGTTAGGCTGAGGAGATTTTTAGGGACTTCAGTTAGCTAGCATGCTAGAGACAGAAAAGCCCTATTTTCACCTGATTTTTCCAGGAGTCTTTAATACCGTGCCTGAGGCAGACACGAATTGGCCTTCAAAGTTGAAAGTTGCCGGGGCTCACTGTTAGCAGAGACAGTAAAACATCTATTTGCAGTTTTGCACCTCTAATTTGACTCTGCTGGTGAAACTCTGACAAAAATTCACAGCAGACCAGGTTGGGTACTGTGTGGTTTAAGTAGTAACACAGCCCGATCAGTGGGTGGCCTGATTGTGAGTGTTTGCTGTTTACTGTGATTCCAAGGGATTTTGGTCTGCTGTTCTCGGCTCGATGTGCCGGGTTTACAACGTGAAGCCCTCGTTAGCATTAATAGCAATTCTGTGCTGGATATCTTGGAAGAAGAAACTGCACGGAGCCGTTGCCTGATGCCGTGAATGTGTTAGCAAAAGTCTGTCAAAATTTACAGTGCAGCCAAATGTGAGCTACGAGGACAAGTCGTAAACAGCAAATGGTAGACACAAAGAGCCAGAGAAGCATTTTAAGAGCTCTCTGAGGCATTTTTCTCTCCCTCTTGTAAAGAGCCTGTAGACTGTCCTAACAATAATGACTGGTTGCCGTTAAGGGTCTGTCTCTGGGACAGCTATGCATCCCAGGAAATGGCCACTGACGTTACTGCTGCAGCTTAAAAGCACAGCTTAAGCTGTGTTATGAGAAAAAGAAGACCATTTCAGCAACATGCTGGTATTTTTTGCCTTCAGTGGTTTGGCGGTGGGAAAAGGGAAACTGAGGAGCATTAATACACCCAGGCATAAGATTTATTGCACCACCAGGATGCTGAAAAGACAGAAGCCCCTTGAAAAGCATGTTCTGAGAGGCAGCTAAAGGAATAGAGAAGACTGGAGGACTGACCTGTGGGGCGGTTTAAATCTTGTTTCCTCATTATCCTAGAGGAAGCCGTGGTACGTTTTTTTGCCAACAGGCGACATGGAACTAGAAAAGTAGTCCAGGATGACATTTAGAGAGATGTATCATTTTGCAGCAAGCTGCCAGCCTCAGCTGCATTCTTTTCCCCATTGGTTATTTGTATTACCCCTCTCGTTTCTCCAGCTCTCTTTTGACTTCAAAGAGAGCCTGCAAGCGTGATATGAAGCCCCTTGGGAAAAGCAAATGTGCCACCCTAAGAGGTCAATTGTATTTTAGAGACTAAGTTACAAATTTTGCTAAGAGTATCTTAAACATGGGCATGAAGAGGTAGAGCTCCAGAGATTCTTCTCTTTTAGGTCCAGGGATAATCAAGTAAACTCACCAATTCTTACTTCTCCTGAGCATGTCATTTATTTACTAGTCGCCTCTTGAAACACATGTATACTTATGATTCTGTATACTTATGATTCTGTTTGCAGTAGAAGATAAAACTAGGATTTGCTTTCTATGCCACCTGTTGGGTTTTGGTTTATTTTTCTCTTGAAATAGGAGATATCCTTCTTGCTAGACCTGAGTTTTGTGCTTCAGCTTGCCATAATCATAAAATACACAGGATTTGTGTTCAAACCAGACCTGGCTCCCTCCTAGGAAGCAATTTCACTTTACAAAATCAGCTTATAATTACCTAAAATTTGCCACAGGAAATTACTTTATGGTTTTTAAATGCTTTCCCCTTTAAAAGAAACTGACTGTGAAAGGGGAAGTCCATATTTAAAAACTGAAGGTTGGTTGTATTGTTTGGAGGAAGGAATGGAAAGAGAGAGGCTAGTGCAATACAAAGTCTGGGATTGTGTCTGCACACCTCTTCTGTGTATTTGCAGAATACCACCCTTCATACAGAAGAAGTGGCAGGACATCTTCCTTTTATTTGTCTTGGTTCCTAGGTTTTACAAGTTAATGTATCCCTTTCTCGCCAAGCAGCAGCTGGCCAGGGATGAGATTTTCATGCTGTGTTGGGAAGGGTTCTAATGGCATTTTCTGTGGTCTTTTTCATTACTATGTGGTGCAGCAAACGTTTCCCTGTGTTGTGACAAAAAGCTGCACTAATGATAACAAAGTGCCCTCGCCACTGCAGGTGACTCAAAGGTTAATTCCAACTGTTAACATAATGGGCACAGCCAGAGAAAGCTTTCAGCAACAGGACATTTTGTAACTGGCATCTTGCTGTTAAATTTGTCTCTCTAACCTGAGTCTTGCTGATTTTTTTTCCGGGCACCACATGTCAGTAAATACAACTCCATAGATAGACGCAGAGTCAGGATGAACAGGGTAGAAAGTCTTTCCATGACTGTCAGAAGATGACACAATGGGGTATATCATAGTTGGTCAAAGCAACAAAGTAAAGAGAATTCCAAAAAAAAGGGAGAGAAGAAAAGAAAAGACATAGGGAAATGTTCTATATAATTTCCCCTGAGCAAACATGTAATTTCCATGATTTCTTTTTAATGACTCTTTTCTGAAGCTAGTAGGTACTGATTTATGAAAAGCTGTAAAAGATCAGGTGGAACCCTGCAGGACATCGTTTACAGCTGCACGGATTGCAACCCGTCTAATTTGTCTAGTAAAGTGTGAGCTCATGGCGCACATCACCCAGGCCATAAATTTCATGGTCAGACCTTCTGTCTAGGGGCTGGGTCAGGGGGAAAAAAAACTGCCGATGTGTGCAGATGCTCTGAAAGCCCAGCTTTCCCTTGGTGCATGTGAGGAGACATCACAGACTCTTCACAGTGAGACAAATTCCTGTTCATTGATAAACTGTCCAGATGTCCTCTCTGAGGAGGAAAGTAACTAATTTTTGTTTGGAATCCTACAAGGGGAAAAATGATACAGTGCTGGTTATTCTGAGGTCACTTGCATTAAAATTAGGTCATATTTTTTGTCCTGATGATACTTTGATCCAAGTAATAAACATAAAAGCTCTTTTGGGCCACTCTAATTCCTAATCCTAGAGACCTGTTCTATTTCAACTTGTTTATACTTTTTTTCTTCATTAGTGATTCTTGAGTCAGACTTTGTTTTATTAGCTTTAAGTTAAAAAGACATACTAGGCTGGAAAAAAAAAATATTCTCCGTGCTTTATCACTAAGAACACTTCATAAATACTCTTAATAAATGTCTTGGGATTCCAGACACTATACACAGAAAACTATAAATAAAAAGCATTGGCTCTTCATGGGATGAACAGTAGTCAGGGAGATGCAGGCTGTTCAGCTACTGAATCAAAATACCTTGGGCCTGATTATCAAACCTGAGCCTTTAACTGGAGGACATTTAAAGCTGTGTATCACGTAGGTGCCTAAGAACTCTTTTTAGCATGAGGTACTTGATTTAAAATGGAGCACATATTTCTGAGTGGGGACTAAAAAGCTGGCCGGTACCAACACATATTTGTCAGTGGAGGGAAAAATGCAGAGACAGAGTTGATGTCTCCAATAACATCTGACTAGTCAAGAAAGTCATTATCGTACTAATTAGCACTGAGAGAGGAAGGTAACTAGAATTAGTAAGATGTCTTGTCAGTAGAAAGAAATTACTGATCATGTTATTCAGGGGCTTCTCACACCTTTTAGAATACAATAGCAAGCCAGTGAGGAGGAATTGCTGAGAGCAGGTTCGCCTCTCCGAGAGCTGGGTGTCACCTCCAAGCTGGTTTGCCTGGAAGACCCGTTTCAGAGAGGACAAACGCCCTGCCTGGCAATGCATGCGTCTCTCTGTGGACTGCAGCAGTAGCTCAGGAAACTAGCTGGGCCTATTTGTGATATTTTTAGATGGCTAAAATGAGGTGTGCTAGAGCCTGACTCAAGAGACTTCATGGGGAAGGAAGGCTGGTATTTATTTTCAGTCTTGATGCTCTCAAATAAGAAGCTACAGTATGCCACAAGACCATGAAAATAAGAGTATTTGTACCAGATGGAATTGAACTTCTGGGTGAATATGGGAGCAGCCATTTTTGCCATTTTCAATATGCAAAGTCCAGGGTCAGCTGCAATATATTCCTTCTTGATAAAAAATTACACATTTAATCATTATTTTGAGAAGAAGCTTACAGATAGACTTATGCAGATGGAAAAAGGTTTAAATAGGCAAAGAAACATGGATATGTGTTTTGTTTGATTCACTGTGTTGGTTTTGTTTGTTTCTTACTGGTTTCTTCCTTGTTTTCTAAGTAGAGAACTTAGATGCAAATCATGTCAGTTCAGCGTCCTCATGAGCACCAAGTTAATTTCAAAGGCAGGAGATGATTCCGTTCTCACTTCTAAATTATTTGTATGGAGGTTTCAGTCTTACAGTGAGCATCAATTTTAAACTGGGCGTGGCAATTGCATTTTACATTTGGCTAAGTGTATTTAATAACAAATTTCCTCATTTCTGCCTCTCTGCATTGCAGAATGAGTCTTGTGCAGTTACTTTCCTCTCACAAATTGACTTAACATTTGATTTTTAGACTTGATACAATTTTTTTAAAGCCACTAGTGTCTTATTATTTGTGCTTCTAACTTAGTAGCAGCATTTAGGATTTGTCAGTGGGCTGCAATACTCTGAGCACTTGATATGTGTAAATTCTACCGACACGCTCAACTTGGGCGTCTAGACTGTGCTTCATTTGTGTGTTGTTTGGGACTAGGTGAATCACATAGGTATAATCTAAATTGGGCTTGTCTTTGCTAATGCTTTACACATTAAATTGTAAGGTAATAATAAACTTCATGAATTGGTGATGCTTCAGTGATTTAAACAAGGGCCTGAGAAGCTGGTGCTCTTAAGCAAGATGATTATACATTCGTCACAGCTGCCAGCGTGAGTACATGTGGTGGCCTCAGCAGGAGATAGCATCCACAGAAAAACAGAAAAGCCACATCTAGCCTGCAAGCTCCTGCTGATGCCAGTGCAAAGTTTAGACACAAAATAAATCCATAGGTATCCCTGCCTCCCTAACTTTCATCATGTTCTTTTTTATTTCAGGCCATCAAATCTTCTCCTGGACCAAAGTAACATTGACATTTCAGCCTTCCGCACGACAGGTGATTGGCTCAATGGCTTTCGGACAGGACAGTGCAAAGACATTTTCACGGGCGTGGAGTACAGTACCTGTGATACAATAGCCAAGATTTCTACAGAGTAAGTTTGAACTGATCACAGCTCTTCATCATTGCTTGTGGCTGGAGGTACAAGTTTACACATAAGCATAAGAGTAATGTTTTTATATGGAGTTTCAAGTTTTTAGCTAAAATATTCTTACATTTAAAGAGACAAATGTAAATTATTGTTATAGGGCAATACACATGCAGGACACCTAGATGCTGTGGTGACTGTGTGAAGGCCACAGTCCCATAGCTTTTTCTCACTGATGACAAGGAAATTTCCAATTTGTTCTGATACAGTAGCACATTGCCTCAACTGGTTACACCAGCATCACTTTCTTTCACTCACAGTTCAGGAGTTTCTGTGTTGATTCTTTATATTCTGCCTTTTATATGGGGGCTTCCCCACAGCTGGTGTGTGTGTGCCCATCTTTTCCTTTATTGCCCATCCCATATTCCATCAAACCAGGTGAGACAGAGCAAGCTCTTTCTAGCTGCTCTCCTCCTGAATGATTATAATCAGTCAGGGTCTGAACTCCCTCCTGCCTCCAGTTTTGACATTTAAACATGCTAAACTTGGAATATTACAGCTTGCAAGTTTATTACATTTACATGCAAGCCGTCTTTGTTCTTGTGATAAGGCAGAGTAGGGTAATGTTCTTTCTGCACCTGAAAAGGCATCAAGTACAGTTATGAACTTACTGGCAAAGGAAACCTTGATTCCCTGTTGGGCTAGCTGGAAACAGGACAAGTTACGAAGAAGTAAGCAGCAGCTGTGGTACCGACAAATAAACACATCAATGCCATTAATTAGTGAATTATTACAACAGTAAAAAGGCTGCTAATGGCTTTTTATAACAATTACCCTCTGGGGACAGTCCAGAAATCCTCTAGGAATGCCCAATTTCCTGTGAGCCACTGGTTAATTAGCCCTTCACAAGGGTTAAACCACTTCTGTGTCCCACAAGAAACAAAGAGACTGGACAGCCTGGAGAAACGAGATGTGAAAAACAGGGTAAGCACTGGGAGCTTGGCCATGTAGCCATTAATCTCAATGCTGATACCAGAGTTAAGACGGCCATTCAGGGGGCTCAGCACATAACAGCGCTATGTCAGCACTGCCCAGGAAAAGCCATCAGGCTGATAGGGGAATGGAGATGTTAGAGAAGCTCAAGGTTGCAGCTGGCCCAGAAGTGACCCACTTGCCCCTAAATGCCAGTGCATGTATCACTGGAGAACAGTTTCATTGTCTTTTCTTCCAGGTAAGCAAACACAACAAGGCTAAATGAGTTTTCGCGCTTTTTTTTTTTTTTTTTTTTTTTTTTTGCGGCCTCCTGCTGTTTTCATACAGTGGCTCTCAGTATTTTTTGTACCAGGGCTTGTGCTTCAGCAGTATGACCGTACCTGGAGGCTCCTCCAATGCAGCAATAGAAGATGAGCGAATTAATTGCTGTTTGCTAACCTCGGCACACAGAGACAGTATGCTCACTCACCCGATGCATTTTCTCTTTTTTCCAGTGACATGAAGAAAGTTGGTGTTACGGTCGTGGGACCTCAAAAGAAGATTGTTAGCAGTATCAAAGCTCTAGAAACTCATACAAAGAACAATCCTGTTCCTGTGTAAGGTACCAAAATGATGTTGCTCAGGAGAGGACAAAAAGAGAAAAGTTGCATCACAGGGCAAAAATGATGGCTGATAAACAGCAGAATTTAAAGGAGTCCTTTGCAACAGCTTTGGAAACATAATGGTTGAAATTTCAAACCCACTAAGACACTCAAATATTGAGTATAAATGCCTTAAAAATAGGAGTGAACTTGTTTTCTATCTGTTAATCTTAAATGGTGGGTGCTCTTGACTGACTGTTAATGCAGATAGTAAATTTCAAAAGGAAAAAAAAATTGTAAAAAATCCTTCCAAGTAAAAACCAGTGTTACTAAAACCTAGAGCCATTTGAATATTAAGTGACTGAATAACATGAAAAACCCATGGACATGAAAGCTGTGTATTTGATCTATACAGCAAACAAGAAGAAAGAAAGACTCACAGTATTTTTATACAGAAGAGATCTGTAACAGGTATTTTATTTCTTTAAAAGCAAGGAAAATAGAGGACTATACCTCACAACCTGTCTGGCCATATTTACTATAATGTCATTGTAACATGCTCTGTCAACTTCAGAAAGGAACACAGAAATAAGTTTGTAGTGACTGAGTTAGTTGACAAAAGATTTTTGCCATTATGTTAGCTTCCGTAATTGTGTTCATTTAAACAAGTCTTAATTTTTAAAAGACTTATTTATTTCCTTTGGTTTTTCCATTATTGTTTATATTTATGCTTAAATACCTTAACCTGGCTGTATTATTGCCAAGTGCCAAATGTTATCAAAACTTAATTGGTTCAGCCTGAGAAATTGTCTGAGGGTTAATTACTAGATTATTTTATACTCATCATATATGAAACATAGAAGGAAAGAAAGATGGGGTTTTTTTCCAGCTCTGACACAAGACAAAGCATCTGGACTTCTTGAGATTCCTTCCATTTGCTCAGAGTGGTATTTTAACTCGGGCCTGAGTTTTGGCAGAGTTGTGTGCATACCAATCTCTAGATCAGTATGCCCCGGTCAAGCACATACATCTCATTTACTTCCCAGAGGCCTGCTTTCCTGTCAAAATAAGGACCCCTATTCTCAGGTGGTGTTCAGGTGAGAGATTTGCCTAGCAGACATTAAAAAGAGTCAGGGTTGCATCCTGCATTAACTGAGGATGCTTACTGAGTTCACTGGGGAGTGGTCCATTTGTGGCTTCTGCCCGCCAGGCTCTGCTCCCGATGCTGGGAACTGGGAGGTGTACTACCGTGTGGGCAGCCGCTGGTAGTTACGCCGAGATGGTGGCTTGCAGCCAAGGATGAGTAGATTGTTTAAAAAAGATGACTTAAGCTGTGAAATGGAGCTTTGGTGTGTAATTTTAACTAAGTCTGAGCTAGAAGACCTCTGTCCAGGCTCTGCCATACTGTAGGGAACTGGAGTTCTTGGCACAGGTTCCTTAGTCACCTGTTCCTTGAAAGAAAGCAGAAAGAAGCCTGTCTTTAGGAGAGCACTCACATTTCCCAGAGGAAGAAGGAGCCTGGAAGGTGGGATTTGAGAGCCCTCCCCCACCTTCAGCATCTTCCCAATAGTGAGCTCTTAAGCCGTTGCTCTGGAGCACGTCAGTCCCGGTTCTGAGCAAATGCTTCGTCTTGAAAATGAGTGGTTTAAATCGCACTTCTTGTGCTACACGCAGGCGAACTTCTTAACGCTTTAGGTGTGATGCCAGGCATGCAGATTCAGGCTTTGGGCACTAGTGGAAACCACTCTGATTCCCAGCTTGCCATGCTGGAATCTAAACCTGACTCTGATGAATAACAGCGAGTCCCTGAAAGTCCAAGACTCTGTGGGAGGCAGATGACCATATGGCACGCCGCCTTCCTCTGTGTGCAAAAGTGGGTAACTAGTCGTGCTTCCTTTCTTTCATTGGTTTGGGTTTTGAAGCTCCTTGTAGCATAGGGCACATAAGTAAGGGAAGAACTGGTTCCTAGGATTTGTGTGGCTGAATCAGCTTTTAAATTGTTCTTCATGGGTCCAGGACTTACAAAATGTAGAGACACGACGTTTATCACACATTGCTAAATAGAAGCAGAATGAGAGACTTATTAATGAGTGCTAGCAGTGAGCATGCTGTAAAAGACTGGATTTGAAACACACTCACAGGATAATACTTAGTTATATTTTCTGAAAGAAAAATGAATGGGTTTTTAAGTGAGTTGAAATAAAAAAATGAAAGATGGAAGAAAATGCCAACGAAGCACTTAAGGTGTAAAGAACACTTCTCCTTATATGCCACAATCTATCGTGAAATGCAGGATGCTGAATAGAAAAGCTGTATTTTCTGTTGCTTAGTTCATTCAGAATCTTTCTTTTCTTCAGTTTGAGATTGCTCTAAATCAGACATTGTTAGTGATTTTAAGTCACCAAAATCCATTTGCAGACATTGTCTATGTGGGGGCAGCTTTTTATAACATATCCCTCATGAAGTTTCTCTTCAGCTTCATTCCACTGCTGGTGAGGGGGCTGGAGTGGGGAGAAAACATCTGTGAAATGCCTCTGAAAACACAGAACCAGTTCTTAGAGCTTTAGATGATGACTGAAAACTTCACAGCAACCACCCTCAATTTTCTCTTAGTATCACGTCATGTTCCTTGCTCACTGTTTGAGCATGCTCAGCATAAAAGATTAAATCTCACTGATGCTTGGGAAAAAAAGAAACTCAGTTTTACTTTTCTTTGCTATTAGGAGTAGAGAGTTTTAAAATAAGTTTCGTTTTCCCTCCCTGCCAAAAGTTGATTTGTACTGTAAGTGGCCTCTGTTGCAAGCATCCTATACTCCCTGTCCCCGTGTACATATGTATACATAGCAGTGTACAATTCTTCATTGTGGAGTAGAAATACTAGAATTCGTGTGGCCATCTTCCTGTACAGGACTTGCATTGGTTATCGACATCAAGCAAAATGCAACCACTCATGAAATGACATGCCGTATTATTGGGTTTGTATCTTTAAATATAGTTTCCATTTTATTTATTTCTGTTAACATATCTAGTTTTGTGCTGTTACTTAGCATTCAATAAGCAATGTATAGATGTGATTTGATTGACAATATGTATTTACTTTAACTTGTATTTCAAAGCATTACTTACTCGTTTAGATTATATATTGTGCAATTGTAGATGGCCTCTTACTAATGTAAAATGATTTGTAGTGGAAACATTTATATTTTTATAATAAACATAATGAAAGTATTTTTTACATACTGGAATACTGAGGTGATTGCTTGGAGGACAAAGTAAATTTATTTGATTAGAGAAGTGTGATGAAATTGTAATTAAATATGGATAAATTCTGAGTGTTAAAGCATGGGTTCAGAGTGAAAGCTAGATATTACCTATATTATCTATTAAAAGAAACAAGCAGTGCAGGTTTTAACTAGACAGACCAGCATTTGTGCTGAAGTGACTTACATCAGTCAAAGACTTTACTTTTTCCATGAATACGGGAAAACATCATCTACTACAGCCTGCCTGTGGGATATTGAAAAAGCTGTTGTTTATTTGAGTTGTGTCAAGCATTTCCAAACTTTTGCGTTTTTTCCTCCCTTGCCAGTGGACCTCTTTTCATCTTATTACTATGTTGAATCCAGTAAAAGATGTACTTTTCAACAAAATAAAAAAGCCCACCGCTTACTGTAATTTAACCCCACGACCATTTCTTGCCTCTGAGTATCTGTATTAGACAATATTTTGCTCCTGTTTCGTTATGTCCCTACCAAGTTGTTTCTGTATGCTTTGCTGAAGTATGGTGTCTTTGAAAATGCCAACATATAACTCAACTTTGCATCTCAGGAATTATCTTCCTAGAAAAATGGAGTGATTTGAATGTTCGCCGGTTACTTGAGGAGTGAAGTTACAGGATCTTTCTGTACCATAAATGATTTTGCATGCTTTTGTATATTACTGTGCTTACTGGTGCAAAACAATGAATGATATACCTGCCCTGGAGCCTGTAAGTTGATAAACTTTATGGACGTGGATGTAGCACACTTTTTTTTTTTTTTGCATTTTGTCTTGGTATCTTCAATAGAAAGGGGAATCACAGAAAAGAGCTACCCAGAATTGGACTTAACTTTAAATGACAACAGCTGGACTGAAATCCACTTTTTCTTCACAACAGCAGTATGCCTCATGTGCTACAGTGGGTACATATGGTGTCATTTTAACTTCTAATGAGTGGATTTCGATGCTGTATTTGAATGACAGGGAAGCAGCTCTATTGGTCTAACCTATGGAAACTACATTGTGAATAGGTGTCACTTCAGCAATTGTGTTACAGTGACTTGTGTCTATTGTGTTTATTGTAAAATGGTATTAATACTCACGGCCAGTTCTGGAACGGCAGTAGGATGCATTCATATGAAGAGCAGCAGAACAAGCAAATGCCTTGCAGCCCACCACCATGTCAAATCTGGAGGGATAAATTGCTGATGATCAGCTCCAAATTCGATATGCCTTTTTTTTTTTTTTTTTTTTTTTGTAAAGTTCAAGTTGCTTTTTCTACTCCACATTCCTTCTTGAGGATGATGCCCAGACCTAGATATCTGTACCAGTAGAAGCCTAAGTAGTGCCAAGTGGAATCAGACAATTACTTCTGCTGTCTCACATATGCCACTGCTGTTAATTCAGACACAATCCACACTATTGACTTTCCTTCATTTTCTGAGCCACTATAATTCCTCAGATTCTTTCCGAAGCAGCACTGCCTGGTTAGTAATTCCCCATTTATATGTCCTTTTTCAGTCCTCAGTCCAATTCTTTGTGTGTTTCTTAATGAACCTTACTTTCCTAATTTAAAAATATTTCTTCTATAAATACTTGTCTCAGCCTTGATTCATTCACACGTATGCATGCTCATCATCCAGGTTACTGATGCAAACAGTGAGCAGCATGAAACATGAAGGACAGTATTCTCTTGGCTTCTTTGTTAGGCTTTTCAGATGGCCAGAGAACCTCTGATAAATGAAGACTACTCAGTACACAAGACTTTTCAGCTCGCTCTGCTTTCACATTACAATGATTTCATAATAGCCCATATTTCCCCAGTTAGCTCATAAGAATATCATGTGGGACAGCACCAGAAGTCTTACTAAAGACAAGATAAATCACATCTACTACTTTTTAGATTATCCTGTCACAGAAAAAAATTAGATGAGTTTGACATGATTTGTTTATTCTTGACAAATCTTAGTTGGTTTCTTAAGAACTTGTAATCCTCCAGCTGCATAGAAATACATTGTGTGATATATATATAGATATATATATATATAAAAAAAAATCTTTCTGGTTATTTGAGGTTAGCACACCTATTGTGTAATTGCCTGGCTTTGCTTTTCTCCCCTTTTTAAAGCTCAGGGTGATCTTTGTTTTTCTCCAGTTGCCTGAACTCCAG